TCAATCTCTCTTTCTCATCCATAAGTTTCTGCAGATCATCCTCCCTTCCTTCTTTCCTCAGCTCTTCTTTCACAAACTCTTGCATTTCTTCGGTCACCCTGACCGTTTCGTCATCTAGCATCCCATCCACAACCTTAAGCATCTCATCAAGTCTCCCAGCTTCACTTAAAGCCCTCATGATGAATTTGTAAGCATCATCGTCCATCTTGAGCTTGTTCACCATCATATCGAAGAAGGATTTCGCATCGTCGAGTTTCCCGGCTTTAACTAACTGATCTTGCAATCGGTTATACACCGCCAAATTTGGTCTTAGACTCGACTCAACCATCGTTTTGAAATATGCAGCTCCTTCATCTATCTTATTTTCCTTGAAACAAGTATCCATTAACAACCCGTATGTGTACTCATCAGGCTTCACCTTTTTCTCATCCATTTCACCATAAAGCTTCTTGGCCTCAGCCAACAATCCGTTGTCACACAGCTGATTCATCAGATTGTTGAACGATAAAGTATCAGGACTACACCTAAAGTCACCCATTTGCCTGAAAACCTCCATAGCTTCCTCAAATCTTCCTTGTGCACAATACCCATTAACCATTACATTAAAACTTCCCAAATTTAAAAACAAATTCCTGGGTGGATTATGTTTCTTTTTCATCGCATCAAACAACTTCAAGGCCTCATCAAACTTCCCGTTCTCGCTCAAAGCCTCCAGCACATAGTTATAAGCCATACCGCTCATCTTTACATTTGAGTTCTCTCCAATAGCTTCCTCATAACACTCCATAGCTTCTTTCTCCATATCTTTCATGAAATATCCTTTCATCAACTGCCCATAAACCACACCATCACCAACAAACCCACCAAGCTTCTCTTTCAACTCCTCATAAAGCTTTAAAACACCATCAGCATCAGAATTCTTCACACACCCCATCATCAGATAGCTATAAACAACAGGGTCTGCAATGAAACCTCTCACACTCATATCCTCCTTAATCTCCATGGCCTTTTCAAGACTGTCATTATCAACTAACCCTTTAACCAGAATCCTAAACGTAGCAATGGAAGGATTCAATGGCGCACCATCTATAAACAGCTTGTAATGTTCCAAAGCAATCTCTGGTTTTCTAACATCAAGATAAGCCTGGAAAATCAAATTGTATGTGATGATATTAGGAGCAATACCAGCTTGATTGATGAAACCATGCAATTGCAGAAGCGCCCCGTACTTCGATTGCCGGAGCTGCGCAGCCAAAACTGCGTTCACGGTGAATATCGTCGGCCGGCAATTCGAATACACAGAGTGGCGCGTGAAGAGAGCAGCTTCTTCCAAATCGTTCTCACGAATCAATTTCAAGATCTGATTGTGGAGATCGAGGCGTTTCCCGGTGAGAACCGATACAGGATCCGGCAATTTCGGGGCATTGGGGTTTTGGATTGGTCTAGGGATTTGAGATTGCTGTTGTTGTTGCTGAGATCTGTTGAAAGAGTTCATCGGTGGCTCCATACGAAGACGACGCTTACGACGGCGACGTTCAGCGGCGGCTTCTTCCTGCGTAGCGAAAGACATGTACCGGACGGCGACAAATGGCGGCGGAACACGAGGGCGGTAGGCTCTCGCGATTGTTTGAAGATGGGTCAAAAAGACGGCTTTAGAAATCGACATGGTTGATTGAAATGATCCGATGAGTGGGAGATTTTCTCAGTGGGAGTGAGGGAAAAATGTGAACTTTGAGAGAAAATGAGAGGTAGGGTTCTTGTTAGGGTTTTAGAAGAGTTTTGGGTTTGGTAATGATGATGAAGTTGTGGGGTTGTTTGGAAATTGGGATAAGATATTTTGGCGTGGGAATAGAGATAATGGACTGTTTTGGGCTTAAGGCCCATTACGAGAGGCCAGGCCAACTCGTTTTAATATTTCTAACCAACAAATGATGCATGTGTGTGTGTTTTTTATGAAACACAATTTCAAAATAAATACTACTTTACGATTGATTAACTAAATTAGAGCAATGTTTTTTACAGATGAAGAACTAATACATCTAAAATGAGATGATCGCGCCAACGAATCGGCTTTTTTAAATTTAAAGATTGTGAAATCAAAGAGAGAAAAGCTAGAAACCCTTGCACGAAATTTACCAAATTTATCAGAAATAATAGAAAGTGCATGCCGACTGCCGAGAACATGTGTGTGCAATGGTAGTTCCCCTTGCACATTCTTTGGCATATGGAGTCGAACTCCATGGGTTAGTAGGCCAGTCCGTTGTGGCCCACCTTTGGT